CCGCTTCGGCCGGGGACTCAAGCAACTCCTTCACCCCTCACACTCTTCGGCCTAAAGCAGTGGGGGACTGGGGGACTACACCGGCCTCAACAAAACAAAAGAGAATGCAAACAAGGTAACCACAAAGCATGGCCACATCATCCATACAGCACAACGGAACTTCATCGGCCAAAGGCCCATAACGTCACTAGCGACGACCAACAAGCCACTAGAGGCAAGGACACTCATCGTCCTCCGCCAACAATTAATCTTGACGGGCCCTTCGGCCAAGAACACGAAGGCCAACCAGCAACGGCCAAAAGAAGTGCGCAAACACCCTCATCGACCACCCAAAGGAAAGGACGCCATCATCCTCAAAGCAAGGAATAACTTCAGTGGCCTCATCGGCCCAAACACAAACTTCAACCATCAACGCCCAAGCAAAACGTGCCTTTCAACGGTCACCATTGAAAGAAGGACACTCATCGTCCAAGAACAAAGACATCAAGTAAACAACGGCCTCCCTGTCCACAACAAGGAACAGATAACGGCCAAGGGTGCCAAAGCATAGGAATCTACTCTCCTTCACTTCGTCTACGTCTCAGCTTAGAGAGTGGGGGACTCCTGATGGAGTATATGGGTCTGAGCCCGCGGACCCACATACTCGGAAGAACAGAAAGCACAACAGAGTGGCGCCCTCGTCGGCCAATACGCCCCCGTCGGCCGAAAAGGGGCCAACTCGGATTATGGTCCTGAGTCCAAGGAACCCGGTCGCCCTCGTCGGCCGTGCCCTCGTCGGCCGTGCCCTTGTCGGCCAAGAAGACCTCCCAGAATCAGATTTTATACTTACTCATTTGTACAGCCCATTAGTGGCTTTGTATTCGGCCCAGTAGTGGTCCAGTTGTAAATAGGCCTCCCAAGCCCAAGGCTTGGGAGCCCAACCCTAATTTTCTCTATAAATACTCCCCTTGGGAGTAGTTATAGGGGTTACAAAATCATTCTATTGAAGCATATTATCGCACTTCTCTCTCTAGCTCTCACTTCTCTCTAGATATACTCTATCACTATTCAAGGGCTTGGAGGGGCTTGTGCCCCTGCAGTGGTTTCATATTTTTATTATATATATACTTGTATCTATATATAATTATATTTATTCTGGGGCTCATGGGGTTGACGGCGGAAGCTTTCAGCAGGTGGGATGGCCGCAGGATGGGGTTGAGCACTTGAGCCATTTCGATTGTACGTGATGATGATCATCATCACCATTAACTCTTATGGTGATGCACCAATTCAGATTAATAAAGTTCTTGAGTACTTACATAGGCATTAGTGCATCATAACTTTATAAGAATAGCTTACTCGTCAAATCTTCCTTTTAAGTTTCATAAAAAGTCTCATCTCATATTGTATGTAAATATAAAATTTGGATTTCTCAATTTACATTTCAAAATTATTAATTTTTGGGAAAATAGTCAAATAAACTGTTTTAATATTATCAATTTATTATTGAAATCCTTCTATTAAAAGAAGTATCATGTAAATATGGTTACTTTAAAAAAATTAACAATGTTTTGAGTTTTTTTAATACGAGAGTATAAACACCTGCTATTACGGGTGAAAAATTGATTAAATGACTAGATTGATCAGTTTTTTAAAGTAAGCATGCTTATATAAAACTTTTTTTAGTACATGGACTTAAGTGATCCATTAGAAATAGTAGAAGGTTTATTTGGCCCTTTTCCCTAGCTTTTTAGAATTTCGGGGCCACAACAAGCCATCCGTTTTGCCGGAGACCTTCCTTTTTCCATTATGTGCCCCTCCAAGATCCCCGAGCTGGTTCCGCCACTGACTGTGTGCATGGTTGAGGTTTGTGCAGAGGAGAGAGAACTAACTGAAACCACAAATTCTTTACTTAAAATACAAAGTGGCAAAGTTAATGGGACATCCAAAAAAGGAAAGTTGGCAAAGTTATAAAAGACGGAGGGAGTATTAAATAAAATAATGAAGGTGGGAGTTTTTATTTCTAATTTCCTCCTAATTTCTGAAGACCAGCACCGTTTTTCTATGTAGTATGCTGAGTCACCAAGCTAACGTACCTTTCCACACCTAGAAAGTTTTCTTTATACGGAGTATTGTTTAATTTTTTTGCCAACTCAGCCCAACTTTTTAATTGTAGAAGAAAATAAATATAAATGTCTAATTTCATGCAGTTGAACCTTTTAGATACGCAATCGTTTTTTCTACAATTGCTTTATTTTTATTATGTAAGATTGTGTTAGACCCCTTCTAGGTTCGGAATTTTACATTTGTCCATATTATTATACATTTGTCCATATGTACTAATTTGTCCATATGTACTAATCAAAATGATGAAGTTGAATTATTTAAATCTAAATTAAAAATTGTATAATGATTTGAACTAATAAATGAATGATAAGTACGATACCCCATTTTTGGAAAATTATACCGTGCAATCGGCGCACCATGAGGATGGTGCGCCCGGTTGCAAAAAGACGCAGCACGTTGCTATTTTTTTTTTTGCTTTTGATGTTAAAAAATGATAATAACTTTTTTATTTTTTATCCGAGTTTTATAAAATTTATATCAACATTTTTTATTTTTCATGATCTTTCAAATGAGACCAATATTGGTTATGTAATTTTAAGAAATTATCGAACAATTATATTAATGAGTATTGGATTATAAGGAAAATCGAATCTTTTTGGGAGATGATAGGTTTGTGAAATAGAAGATCGAATCTGTTTCGGAGTGGATCAGTGGCCTCAGTTACATTTGATAATAATACATTGAGTTACATATTTTTATGAGCGAATTACATCTTTTTATAAGCAATTTACATCTTTTTATAAGCAAGTTACATCTTTTTATAAGCAAGTTACATCTTTTTAAAAGCGAGTTACATATATATAAACACGAGTTGCATTTGACATGTCTGAACGCGACTTACATATATTTACACGTAAAGTTACATATTTTTACACGTAAAGTTACATATTTATACACGCGAGTTACATATTTATACACACGAGTTGCATTTGACCTGTCTGAACGCGAGTTACATATTTTTTTACGTAAAGTTACATATTGTTACACGTAGAGATACATATTTATACACACGAGTTGCATTTGGCCTGACTGAACGTGAGTTACATATTTTAACACGTAAAGTTACATATTTTACACGCAAATGTTAATATGTTAAACTTACATAGGCAATATTGGTCTCATTTGAAAGATCATGAAAAATAAAAAATGTAGATATAAATTTTATAAAAATCGGATCAAAAATAAAAAAGTTATTACCATTTTTTAAAAACAAAAGGAAAAAAATATAAATCTGTACCGATATACGGTGCTCACCGTATACCGGTCGTACGTTATAGGCACTGCATTTTTTAAAGGGTACAAGAGTATCACCTTTATTTATTATGATCACTAGGGTTGTTAACGAACCGAGCTTTTATCGAACTATTCGAGTTCGAGCTCGGTTTCGAACCTAACGAGCCGAGCTTAACAAACTTTTGAACACGAACCCGAGCTGAATTTTAAGTTCGAAAAATTAATCGAGCCGAGCTCGAACATAGTAGTATTCGGCTCAGTTCGAACTCGAGCCTATCGAACACCGTAAAATTATAAATATAATTAAAAATTTTAATGTAATTAGTATTATTTTATGAATTTAAATATGATTATAAAAGAATCGAATTTTTGTCGAACCATTCGAGCACGAGCCTATTAATGAGCATCACCTAAAATTTTAAATTCGAGCATATTTATCGAGCTTATCGAGCGCTCGGATCGAACATCGAATGCCTATCGAGCCAAACATGAGCCTCATTTGTAAAGCTCGCCGAGCTTCGAGCTCGAACCCGAACACCACTAATTCCTTAACGACCCTGACGATCACCAAGTACGTAAGTTGAACAACCGTGTGAGTTGGACACTTTGTAATTTGTATACAGAGTACGTAAGCTTAGCTTCATAGGGTAAATCTCTAGGAAGATTTTTTAGATGCTGTTCAAAAAGGAAGTTCTTTTATACTCTCTCTGCCCGCTAACAATTAGATAAGAGAGAGTGACACGCAAATTAATAAAAAATCGTTTATGTGGTTGATATTGCATTGATAAAGTATAAATAAAGTAAAAATGATTTAGAGCCACACAAATTTTACCAAATTTGGTATGAGACAATCTTAGTTGGACGGAACGATAAGGTAAAATGGGACAATCGTAGCGGGACGGAGGTAGTACAAAATTTGTCCTAAATTGTGTCAAATATGACTAAGAGTAATGTGATATTTCAAAATAGGTTTGATATTTTTCTGAACTATCAACAAAAGTCTCGAACTCTCGTGAAAAGTGCAAATAAGCCCTTTTACAGGAGGTTTTGTTCGGCTATCGCAATTTGGGGTAGTTTCCAGTGGAATTTTTTGATGAAATTTTTTGAGCATCTTATTCATTAAGTCTAGTTTACTCATACCAAAGTTTAGCTAAAAATGCAATAGGGAAGGCAGTCAAATGAATTTTTGAAGATAACTGCGCAGTTAGACATCACAGTATATTTCAGAAAATCATTCGACTCCTTTCTAGATTGAATTTTAGCTGACATTTGGTATGCATAAACTAGACTTAATGAAGAAGATGCTAAAAAAATTTTATCAAAAAATTCCACCGGAAACCGCCCCAAATGGTGACAGCCGGAAAATGCCTCCTGTAAAAGGGCTTATTTGCACTTTTTATGAAAGTTTAAGGGCTTATTTGATAGTTCTCCCTATTTTTCTCTAAATATGAATAATTACTCTATATTTGAAAATACCGCTAAATATGACATTAATATTATCATATGAATGCATAACAATAATGCACTCATATTAAAGAGACTAGATAGATTGCTAATAATTTGTTTAGACTTTTTATTGTGTGCTCTATTTTTTAAATTAGTCAAGTTTTATTGTATCAAATAGAGTTGTGCACCTTTCTTGTTTCTTCTTACAGCCCAATAAGAAATGGAAATGTTACAGTTGGAATTAGGTGTCAAATTTAATGAGCACTATTAGACAGAGTGAGAAGCCAGGATAGGAACTCCACACAACAAACCTCACTTCATATTTTGGCTATCATCATCATGAACTCTCCCACTTCAATTATTCTGATAGAGTTCTTGATGATCATAAACTGTTTCTCATTTCTCTCCATTATTAATGCTCAACAACCTTATGATTTCTTCTACTTTGTTCAGCAGGTACATACCCTTTTCTTCATTATATTATTATTCAGTTCAAATTTTTGGTTTTTTATCAAGTGAGTTTCATAGCTGCAAATTGAAATTTAATAAAGGATACTTCAAAGTTCCAAAATAATCTTACATCTTTATTTAAGGAATAAATTTAGAGTATTTTCCAGGAAGTCTCTGTCATATCAATCACAATAACTTCAATCATCATGGGTAAATTTGACCCTTTTCTGTTTTTCTATTTGTTGTTAATGAAGTGGCCAGGATCGTATTGTGACACCAAACAAAGCTGTTGTTACCCAACCACAGGGAAGCCCAAATCAGACTTTGGCATCCATGGACTATGGCCTAACAGGAATGATGGTTCTTACCCATCAAACTGCAACTCCAGCAATCACTATGATGAATCCAAGGTTACCATGCTTGTGTCAAAGATTATTGTACTAATAGTAGCTAGCAGCAATTAAGATTCCACCAATGGCATTAAATATAACCATTTTTCAGTCTCTTTTTCTGAAGAAATTTCTGAGAGTAAGAGTAAAATATGGAGAAAGTTCTAGAATAGAACTCTAAATGTTTTCTTCCTAAAACATGACTTACTTCTCCAAAATAGGATTGAATAAGTCATATTTTAAGAAGAAACGTATGGCGTCCTATTTAGGAACTATGCTATGTTTAGACAACCGTTCTTGGTGTACACATTTTGGGTGTACATGCTCATTTACACGCTCGAGTTGTCTGTGTACACTGACATTTCTGTCTTTTGGATTGATTGTGCTTACAGACAAAATAAGGAACATGTACAAAAAAATATGCAAAAAACGTGTACAAACAGAATTTTTCATCTTTCATATCTATTTAGAAAATTTCAGTCATCTACTGTATTTAACTTGTGTTGTGTATGTAGATCTCAGACTTGATGAGCAGAATGCATGAAGAATGGCCGACACTGTCTTGCCCAAGTAATAATGGCTCAGCATTTTGGTCACATGAATGGGTCAAGCATGGTACCTGCTCCCAGTCCGTCCTCACCCAACGCTCCTACTTTGAATCCGCTTTGAAGCTTAAGAACCAAATTGGTTTGCTCCACCTTCTTCAGAAAGCAGGTATCATGAGCTGTAGCCTATAGCCACTTTTGTATAGTGTACTAGCTTCATTTTATTTTAAAACTATTTGTTACGTATCATCTTTGAGTTCAATTTTTGCATTCCCATAATTCATTAAGGGAGTGTTTGCGATTGCTTCTACTTAAAAAATGTTTTTAAAGTGTTTTTGAAGAAAATGCTTAATAGTAAAAATTGGTAGTGCATGAGGAAAAAATGTTTCTCAAAAAGCCAAAGTTGTTAGTGTTTTGTAAAATAAGTGATTTTTATGTAATCGAAAAATTGAAAAACAGTTCAAAGCACCCCTCCATCTGCTTCCAGTTTTTAGCTTTTACAGGCTTAATTTAAGAAGATACTGTAATTTGAAAACACTCATTTCAAATTTTTAAAGTCAAAAGCCGAAAAACACTTTTTTAAATTTTGGCAAACACTGCCCAAGTATTTTTTAAAATATGTAAAACTTCTAATCATAGAAATTTTCTCAAGAACAATATGAAAATGTACAAATAGCGCAATGTATATTCTTTTTTATTTGCAAGAGCAATTTACTCTTACTTAAGAGCATGTATTTCTTGTCAAAAAAAGAGCATGTGTGTATGCAGTATGTTGTTCTAGTAGTGAAGTGATTTGTGCAGGAATCCAACCAGATGGAAGGACTTATAGCTTGGGTGACATAGAACAGGCAGCCCTAGACGGGTTTGGACATGAAGTCGGGATAGAATGCAATACTGATGCAAATGGTGAAAGTCAATTGTACCAAGTTCTTATCTGTGTTGATCCTTCAGCTTCTAGGGTCATTGAGTGCCCTGGTCTTCCCAACGGACATTGTTCTTCCACTATCAAGTTCCCTTCATTCTAGTAGTCGTGACAATTTTTCGAGTACCCTTTCATCCAAATTTATTGTCAGATCAAATAAGGGGCTTTCATTGATCCCTCCTAAACAATGTTGTAGGGGAGGAATGTGTTATATCAATAATTGAATACCAAAATCTACCATTATATGAATTACGAGGTTAATTGGCCCCATTAGTGTGTCCATCCTTTTACTAATGGTGGATGTTATTTAACCTATGATGGTTCTGGGTAGAGGTAAAACGTCTAGAGTGGGTTTAATAGACTTTTAAATATTTTTCCTACCATTTGATCGAACTTGATCCTCTATAAGAATGTTATTAAACCTTTTGGCAGATTCAACCGGGACGTTAGATAAAACAACAATAAAAGGTTTGAATGAAATGGCAGTGGACTTGTAAGTAGAGTGCTCAACAAGCTACTTCAGTAGGTTGCTGTAAAGTGTCTTAGATGGAGATGAAGTACGATATCTATAAACACTTTATGCTAGTTATATTTATTTAGACTGGAAATATAGTTTTAGAGGTGCATGACAGGGCTTTGATAAGATCATAAGAGAGTCTAATGACCTATAAGATGGTTAAGAGATGATATCCAGTAGGTTGGGTATACAAAAAGCTTCTGTATTAATGCAGTTTGTTGCATAGTTATTAAATTTGTGGAAATTGTGTTTTGATTAAGAGTAAGGACGAGTGTGAATGTGGCAATGTGAGAACTGAAAAGTAGGCATGAGGAATTATTCTACTTCAAAAGCGGTGTAATTCCTCTACTTCCAAGTTCCAATCTCACCCTCTTCCAAGTTCCAATCTCACCCTCTTTCAAGTGGATTTCCACTAATTACTATCACCAATTTCCTCTACTTCCAAGTTCCAATCTCACCCTCTTCCAAGTTCCAATCTCACCCTCTTTCAAGTGGATTTAGTGGCTACTTTAGCCTTGATCTATTGGTGAAACTATTTCCATAAAAGCAATAGATATAGACACATTCGTTTGAGATAGTCATTAAACGATTATTGAAGAGTAAAACTATTTCAGTTGATTTTGTGGGGTAAGAAGGAAACCTAGCGAGGGAAATTGGACAAATATGTGTCGCTTTGAAAGATATAGAGATTGTAACCTAACTTGTGTGATTAAAGATCCTATGAAGCACATTCATATGAATAATAAGTCTTCTATTCGTTCTGCATAGAGGTGGACTCGGGCCGGGCCAGGTCCGGGTCGGGCCTAGGCCCAGGCGGGCCAGCGGTTGTGGATAGGTGGGCCCGGGACCGGCCCGGGTAGCCACCGGGTCCGGTCCGGGCCTCGGTTTTGGTTAACCCAGGTTTTCTTTGTAACAAAACTTGTTACAAATGAGGTAACGGTGGAATTAAAAAAAAGATTAAGAAAAACGGGAATGACTACACACAGAATTTAGATATGATAATAGGAAAAAAATCATTAGGGGGTAAATATCTCTAAATTCAAAATTGAGGTAAGCATGTATGTTCTGATACAGTTGTATGCAAACAACGCTTAGGGGGAATGGAAAAGCATTTAACATCATACACACAAATTTGATGATAAAAAAAAGGCATTTAACATCATATACACAAATTTGATCAAAAAGCAAGGTCAATCATATTCCAAGAGCCAGACCTGCCCAAATAAATGCACTGACTCACAGAACATATTTTAAAATGTGAAAACATCATTATTACTCAAATTGCAAAAGCTCTTATATTGTCTTCCAGGAGTTGATTCACAAAAGCCAGCGAGAGCTTACCCATGAAGTAATGTGGTCTTTTATGACTCCATATATACCTTCTAGGTTCAATTCCACCTACAAGGGAGGATTAAAACCGACAGCGACATTTGCTTCCATCCTATGTACTACTCTTCTAACATTCCAATCATGGCAAAACTCGAGTGCAAGCCGAAGAGCTGTCCCAAGGCCAAGCACAACTATCACACCTGAAATACTTTTGAATTAAAATGTGGGAAATTGAACTCTCTTATATATTTTAAAAGTAAAAGAATTCATTGCAAGAATAAATCTAAAAGCATTGACCACTTTACCTATAATAATGTTCACTGGTAGTGCAGACACACCGAGAGTAAGGGATATTAGCAGATCCAATAAGAGACCACCAATGAGGATAGAGAATGCAACCCCAAGTGGACTGAAACAGCCCTGTTACCAAAAACTGATTTAGAGGCAAGTAAAATAGATGAAAGGCAAACCAGTTAAGGAAACTACCTTACCCTATCCGGTTGCTGCGCTGTATTTGTTCCTCTAAATGAAGGATCGATCCTCCAAACCAAGTAACTTGTCTGTCAACCAGAAAAATATGTCACTGTTAAAGACCATCTATGTCAGTGAATTAAGATAAGTTTTCACAGGTGTTTGACTTGTTTGTTGTTTTGTTGGATGGGGGTTGAGAGTAATGTTCTTTGAGATAATGAAATAAGGTATTCACAAAAACAAGATTTGGTACTACACACATATAGTACACTTTCCACCATTTTCCTTCACTATTTTGTTTTAAAAAAGGGCAGCCCGATGCACATTGGATTCCCCACAGGGCGAGGGTTCGGGGAAAGATCCCACCACAAGGGAGTATAATGCGCAAGCTTTTCCTTTTCATTTTGACAAGAAGCTGCTCCCAAGACTTGAATCCGTGACCTCCCAGTCACACAGCATCACCATAATAGGTGCATCAAGGCTTGCCTTCTCCTTCAACATTTTGTTACAGTAATAATCATTTCACACAAAACTAGAAAAGCATGAAACATGAAGTTTTATGAGTAGTCACCAAACTTAATATTTAAACTTTTAAAGTAACAAGCCTGCTAGTAGAACTCAAGGGCCAAAGAAGCAATACTACCACAGTCTGACACTAGCTAGCATCACTCATACAGTCATACCAAAACAAAAATGACACTTACAGCTGTGCGGGACTCTGGGATTGCCACATTAGCTGCTACTTGACTGCATTAAAATTGCAAGCTGCATTATCTTATTTGTAAACAAAATAGAGAAGTTAAAATGCACTATCTCATGGTGGAATAATATCCTCACAACAAAAATATTTGAATAAACCTTAAGGCTACCCACATTCCTTCATCATCAATAAATCCAAATATCTACTTTGATAATACGAATACAGCATATAAGCGTATTCACTCCATCAACACGATTTTTCCCTACATGTCAACACTCTATGTAATATCCACTTTTCATATTTTTCCCATATCAAGTTCATCAATTATTATTTAAGTTATTAAAAATAATTTTTTCGTGAATGGTTATAAAATAAAAACGCCAATAGTATATATTTATGAAAACAGATATTTAACATGACTAATATAAATGTTCTTTGTTCAAACTGCTCAATACAAATTTTTGATAGCACAGACACTCCAAAAGAAACGTTTTGTTCTCCTTTGGGGGCTTCTGGAATAAAGGAAACGGAACAATGTAAGCCATAGAAACAGAGATATAAAAGGCCCCTTAAGTCTTTCTCTATTGACTTACTGGCATATCTCACATTTATTGGAGCCTCTTGTATTGAACCATGTTTCTATGCATGTACGATGTGCATTTGAGAGCCCACCACGACAGTGGCATCCAAGTTCTATCAAATCCTCTTCCTTCTCCTGTTGGCATACCCTGACAAATAACACAAGAAGTAAAATATTACAGTGCAGTTTTCATTGATTTCAACAATGGTGGTTTGGACATTTCTCCCAAATCACAAAAAAATGCCATAAAGAAAGAGCAAGAGAGAGCATGAATGAGAAGTTTTAGAAAGAGGATAATTGACAAACTCCAGGATGCAAACATGAGACCAAATAAAACTCCATATTTTCAATAAGAAGAAAGTGCAATTTATTTTTAAACTGTCAAATGGAAACTCATCATATTCACATCCAGTTCATGGAGCATCCCAAGCTAGGAGAATAAGAATGGTAAGATGTATCAGAAAAGTGAGAGCTGCAAAGAACACTATGCTACAACCTTAGTAGCAGTAACTCCAAATCATAAAATAAAGATTAAACTGCTTCTTATCATATCAAAATACCTCTTTCTCTTCAAGTAATTACATCTACGAGCCCCGTGAGGTAGCCTAATATATATATACACTGCTTTTACCATAAATGTACTAAGATTCTGTGTTCAACTCGAAGGCTCCATTCTGTAAATAAAATTTCTTGATAAATTATAAACAGCAATAGTGAAATACACAAAAGTGTATGATTATTGAATCAAGTAAATCAAACTAGTGGCATACTGAAATCATGCATTCTAATATAGTACTACTTCAGATGAACTGTTCATGAACTATGACAAAATCCAAACCTTTGAAGCTCATTGTTTAGTAATCTAAGCAATCCTAGCCAGACAGACAAGATTTGAAATGTTTTGAGCAGTTCCATGATAAGATATAAAGATAATAAAATGGTGTAAATTCTTATGCCTGCACTCGTCATGTGAGCTTTCATTCCTCGATAAGTGAGGCTTCTTGAGAGTCTCAGCACAACCTTTCTCTCCTAGGGTGTGAGTTATCAGGACAGGCTCTGGGGAAGAAACAGATTCCTGTTTATTGACAGAACCATCTGCAGCAATCACTATAGCAAGCAGGGATTTATCTGCACTTTCATTGACATGGCCATGGTTTTCTGTGTCTGAACACTGCCTGCTGCCAGCCACGGATATTCCGTCACTAGTATAACCCTCAGCGGCAGCAACGGCGCCTCCGCTCACTGCAAAACCACCATCCCTCATCTAATAGGGCCAAACCAACTGCCGCAAAACCCCCCACTACTCCCAACTTCCAATCGGATAAACACCAAGATGAATTCCCTCAATTGTGATGGTTGCCTCGCCGGTGAAAACTAATCTGAAACAAACAAGAAAAATAATCGCAATTTAGCTCAGAAGCAGCACAACCATAAAAGGAAAACCCCGTAAATCAACTCGAACTTCGCAAGATATCTGAAGGGAAAGGATATGAGTGTAATCATCTTCATTTTCCTTTTTGTAATTTTCGCGAACAGATAGTTAGAATAACATACGTAGTAAATTTAGAAATTACTTGTCGGATATTCTGCCCAAAAATATACTCCGGTTATTCTGGATACGCAAGAATGACACCGGTTATTCCGCCAAACGTTCCTCAACTTTGAACTTTCTTGATGTAGAAAGGATTTGGCAACTCAGCACTTCAACGATTTTTTCGAATGACAATATATACTACCTCCCAGCAATTAAGTTCCTAAAAAAAGTTGGTGTTTACAAAGATTGATTTTATCAACACTCATCCCTAATTTCTCAAAAAAGTGGAATTGAGTACCTTATTCTAATTCGGGAATTATTTAAGTTCAATTATAACGTAAATACAAATGAAATGTAAAATTTTTGCGTTAGGATATAAATTATGTACACAAACAATTATGTACAAATATGTGTTAACTGTGTATAAATTATGTTTACATCAAGGATTGTTGATTAATTAGTAAAATACGAGAGTACCAAATTTGTTCTATTGAGCATTGTAAAGTTGTACCTATGAGATATGCAAGAAAATAAAAGAATAAAATTATTTGATTGAGATTTGTAATAGATACTAAATAGACATAAATTACTTACTTTAAATGTAAATGGACAAAAAAATTAGACAAAAAAATAAAAGAAAATCTGCAAAGCCCAATTGAACCACGGGAATTACATTAAAGGAGTATTTTGTCATCAAATATTACCAAAAATAGAACTAAAAACTTGATTGTTGGACTTTTGAAACCCATGAGTCACTCAATAATTGTTTATCATATAATATTTTATTTATTGGTTGAATAATATACTATGTATATTTTACTTAGAAAGTGTAATTTTTCATAATTCAACACATTTACAATTCAACCGCTTCATTCAGAATGTTGGGATAATGGGACGGGTCCAAGACTATCGGCCCATTACACCCGAGCTTTGGCTCGACCAAGCTCACATCACAGTCCGACTAGCAGATATTGGCCCGGGATTATTCAATTCCTTATTGGGCTTGCTGGCCCATTAGCGTTAGTAATAGTAGATTAATCGAGTCAGACCCACGTAGCACTTAATTGGTGGGCATATTGTATACGTCTATAAATAGGCCATCAACCCCTTGTATTCTGCTAAGTTATTCTCACTATACTGAAATGATGCCGAATTCTCTACCCGGGTTATTTTCTACCAACATTGGTGCTTTCATTGAGAGCCGAACTCATCTCTCATTTTTTTCCGGTAGAACTTGGGAGAGAAGATAGCATTAACGCGTGCAAATCTATGAAAAAATCATTACAGTTTAAGAATTCAGCACAAAAATGACTTGGGGTAAATAAAAAAAATATTTGAAATTGGTAAAGCTGAACTCTTAGACTTGAACCCAGTTTCACAGGAAGCAATCGAGGATGGTGAGGGCCGGAAGAGGAGGCTCCGCGCCAGACCCCTATGGAACAGCAGCATTGATACGGATCCCTAACATCCACACGTCCTCAACAGCGGTGGGTGCGGAACATCCCTCACCTATTGGTCCTACTCTCGAAAATCTAGATCTGCCATCAACCTTAAGCCATTAATGGCCGCTTGAGACCTGGGGAAGAAAATTACAGGCCACATATTCCTTCTCCTTGCGATGGTTCCTGCAAACACGAACCAGTAAGTGCCGTCATCACTACAACCAGAGTAGCTGCCATCACCGAGGATTGCACAAATTCTCGTCGGCCGACCTCGGTAACAACAATTTAGCCGCCCTAGTGCAGCAATGCGATGGTGAGGGCTCCACCTTTGTCGCTCCTCCTACCACGCCGCGGCAGCGACCATGAATCTTATTCCGTGCGAAGGGGTGCGGCGGCGTACCATGAATCTTGTTGAGTGAGCCCTCGCCGCTGACGGAGAGTGAGCCCTCGCCGCTGACGGAGAGTGAGCCCTCGCCTCTGACGGTCAGACAACGGTATGTGTAACACTTGAGATTTAATTTAAATGGATTAATAGTACTACTCATACCAACAAGATGCATCTCCTTTTAAGGGAGCTCATCACCAAGAACTCCAAAGTTAAGCGTGCTTGCACGGGAGTAGTCTTGGGATGGGTGACCCCCTGGGAAGTTTCTCAGGGTGCGCATGAGTGAGGACAAAGTGCGCGGAAAAGGCTAGTGGAGGTTTGTGAGGACAGTACTAGAGGTCAGAAGTAACTACCTCGGGGCCTACGGGGCCGGGGTGTTACAAATGGTATCAGAGCAACCCTGCGACAGTGTGCTGATCCGTTGGATATCGGGCGGACACTTAGCAGGGGAAAAGATTCTGGGATATGATTGAGATTGGTTTATGGGCGCAACGAGGACGTTGCGTTCCTAAGTGGGGGTGATTGTAACACTTGAGATTTAATTTAAATGGATTAATAGTACTACTCATACCAACAAGATGCATCTCCTTTTAAGGGAGCTCATCACCAAGAACTCCAAAGTTAAGCGTGCTTGCACGGGAGTAGTCTTGGGATGGGTGACCCCCTGGGAAGTTTCTCAGGGTGCGCATGAGTGAGGACAAAGTGCGCGGAAAAGGCTAGTGGAGGTTTGTGAGGACAGTACTAGAGGTCAGAAGTAACTACCTCGGGGCCTACGGGGCCGGGGTGTTACAGTATGCCCGTACGTCCGGTACGCCCGTACGTCCGGTACGCCCGTACGCCTGGTACTCCCGTACACCCTTGCTCCCGTACGCCCTTGCTCTCGTATGCGCGTGCGACTGTACGCCCGTACGCCCGTGCGCCCGTACACCCCTGCGCCCGTACGCTCGTGCACCCGTGCGCCCGTACTCCCGTACTCCCGTACGCTCGTGCTCCTGTACGCCCGTGCTCCTGTGCTCCCGTACCATGAATCTTGTTGAGTGAGCCCGTGCCGCTGACGGAGAGTGAGCCCTCGCCGCTGACGGAGAGTGAGCCCTCGCCTCTGACGGTCAGACAACAGTGTGCCCGTACACCCGGTACTCCCGTACGCCCTTGCTCCCGTACGCCCGTACGCCCGTACGCCCGTGCGCCCGTACGCCCGTGTGCCCGTGCACCCTTGCGCCCGTGCACCCTTGCGCCCGTGCTCCCGTGCTCCCGTGCTCCCGTGCTCCCGTGCGTCCGTGCACCTGTATGCTCGTACGGCATGCACATCAATAGAGCACCAAGTCAAAGATAGCTGAGCTCCGATTCAATCCTTTCTGACCAAGCATTGCATTAAGACTCGAGATAATTATTGGCGCCCATAATTTTCAGTAGAAAATTAAAGGGAAATTCAACACTTCAAAAAATCAGCAAAAAAAGCAAAAAAAAAAAAACAAAAAAGTTCATATGGGAGGAGCAGGAAGTGTGCCCGTCGGCTGAGCTTGATGTCCTCATTTCAGCCGCATCTTCAAATTTCAATGCAGGTTCCAAGCCTGGCTGTCTCCATAGCTATGGATCTCACATCTGGTCACACTCACACCGTAGGAACCCCGATGACAGCAACTACTCTCTCTCCGGAAGCCATCACCAAAGGAGACTGCTCGTAGCTTGCCCCTGCCTCAGTGAAGCGCAGCCAAACGACCGGTTGCGGCACGCTCCATCACCGAGACGGTCGCCGGGCGATCTGCCTGTCATCGCCACCGGAGGACGCAGCTACCCCGCGGGGGTCAGATATCCTCTCCTTCTCCATCTGTGAGCAACGACGACAGAAGGAAATAGCATGCCTTCGAGCTGGGGTTCATCTCCGTCGTCACTAGGATCATCGCCCGCTAGTTTCACCGGATCCGCCGCCGCTCGTAGCTCCGCCTGGCCAGTCGCCGGTCTCTGCCTCAGTCTCTCCTCTGTTGGCCGACGAGTTGAAACGGCACATGGAGTGTGATATTCAACGGATCCATGACTGCCATCTGGGACTCATCTTTTCTCTGGCAGCAACTTGAGTTGGAGGGGAAGACCGCCCACCGGGGGTGGACCTCTCAACAAGCATGCCTTTTAATTTTGACCTAATTAAGAAAGCTTAAAGATGGGTTTGGACAAAAGATGAGAGTTTTGGCCCAAGCAAAGGACAATCATCACCTGTGATACATCACAAATTAAAAAAAAAAACTGAAATTTCTATTAAAATTTTCTGAAATTGCAGGTTAGTCACCAACGTCGACATGTCGTGTGGCGTTACCGGGGAGGACATGCAGGTTTCAAGCTATCACCTTACCAGGCACCCGCAACAACAATCGGCAGGTCGGGTACCCTCTGCACGAGCTCAACCTGGCGAGGTGGACGGAATGTCATGCCCGGAAGTTTGGTTGCACAGACCCGCCATGGCGAGACGGCCGCACGGTCGTCACCTGGATGCGTGGTCGTGCAAGCCCAACCCGACGACGTGAGCATTTGGCCACCACCAAGAGGCTTCGTAGAACACCCGCAGCGGCAACCGGCAGATCGGGTACCCCTACACGAGCTCAACCTGGCGAGGTGGACGGAATGTCACGCTCGGAAGTTTGGTTGCACGAACCTGCCACGGCGAGACGGCCGCACGGTCGTCACCTGGATGCGTGGTCGTACAAGCCTAACCTGGCGACGTCAGCATTTGGCCACAACTAAGAGGCATCGTAGAATACCCGCAGCGGCAATCGGCAGATCGGGTACCCCTTTTACGAGCTCAAACTGGCGAGGTGGACGTAATGTCACAACTCGGAGGCTTTGTTGCACGAGCTCGCCATGGCGAGACGACCGCACGATCGTCAACAGGGGGCTTGGTTGCACAAGCTCAACTCATCGACGTGAACATGCGGTCATCACTAAGAGGCTTAGTTGTATGGCCCCGAGTGGCCGAGCATGATCAGTTGAAGAGGAAGATGCCATGGACCTTCTGCAAAATGTGTGATCGGCTTCGAGTCACCGGCGTGCATGAGAGACCAATGGTTGTACTCTTGTACGACGTGTTTCGACGGAGTGCATGACACCTTGTCAAAATATAGGACCGGAGCATTGTGGGCTTGTAGATCAAGAACGGAGCGCAGAGCACCTTGCCAAATCCTATGAGCGGAGCACCGCAAGCTTGTTGATCAAGTACGGAGTGCATGGCACCTTGGCAAAATCTAGGAGCGGAGCATTGCAGGCTTGTAGATCAAGAGTGGAGCGTAGGGCACCTTGTTAAATTTTATGAGCGGAGCATTGCAAGCTCGCAGATCAAATGCCGAGCACCGGGCACCTTTTCTAATCTGGTGAGCGGAGCACCGCAAGCTCGTTGATCAAGTGTAGATTGCAGATTAGCTCTCTCATTCTATGAGTCCATCATCACAAATTGTAAATCAAGTGTAGAACTCGAGGCAACTCCTCAAGTTCTCAAATTCTTTTATTACTTAAAAAAAGAAAATCTTTCGTTTTCTAGTCTGGAACTTAATGAGGTCCGACCTCACTTGGAAATGAACGGGCGGCGGCAAAAAAAAAAGAAACAAAAAAAAAACAAAAAAAAACGCAAAAAGAGAAGAAAAAAATACTATGATGTCCCGCTCTCGGTGTTTAGACGACCATGGCTCAATCCTCGGGCAAGGAAATGATCAAACAATTTTCTAAGTCTAGGAATAGCTTCTCGGTCATGGCGACCATAAGACCGGCCTCCGGGTCGAAAAGGTATGCGAGAGGTCGTGCCCCGAGACCCTCTTGTATATCCGTTGTCTGACGTTGCCGTCTAAACAGCTCGCATGCACGTATGATCCCATCAACAATGCGGCAACTATATGACTGGTCTCTAGGCCGAAGGTATGCGAAAGGTTGTGCTCTGAACCCCTTTCGTACATCAGTTGTCTAACGTTGCTAGGCTTAGCAGCCCGCATACGCGCTTGACAGGATCAACGGTGCGGGTCCGTTCTGGTCTGATCATGCAGGGCCTTGCCCTTACGTTTGGCCAACTTCAGTTCGACTTTCAGAAAGGGAATAGCCAAAATGTTTCCTAAGTATGAAACTAGCTGTACAAGTCAAGATGTAAGACCGGCCTCCGGGTCGAAGGTATGCAAGAGATCAGGCCCCGAGCCCCTCTCGTACATCCGTTGTCTAACCGATGGCCGAACAGCTTGCACACTCATCAGTCATAGATCAATAGTGTGCGGGTCAGCCCGCCTTACCAAGCAGGGTGCGGTCAAGGTCGGTCCTACCAACCTTCCGCCCCTGACGGCCTAGGTGGGAAGCCAGATCCCCGATTAGTTCTCCAAGTATTCTTGAATGAAAAACGACTAAGAAAATTGAAAGAACGAATGATGCATACAAGCTCAGGCGATAAATCAATCGCGGAGAACAACTCCAAGATCATCATTGCCCATCTTCTCCGCCTCATCATGGGTAGTCTGCATATCATGCATGCCACATCTAAAAGAGAACAAGGCCTCCTTTCGTGCCAATTGCAACCCTCCTTGGTCCGCAACTGAGCTTGGACATACTCCGGACGCCGATCCTCGATCCAAGAATTGACAAGGTTCGGAAACTTTAGGAAGACATTGAACATGGAAACTGCCTCATCTACTATGTCCTCAACGCTCGGACATGCTTTGGTGGCCGGGCCTCGAGCCTAGATCTTGCAAACTCTGAAATCACTGGGAATGCTTTAACGCTGCAATTACCTTATGCCTTGCATCTCAGGACAACGACTCTAGCTAGTCTTACTTTGATACAGGCTCGGATGAAACTTTCATATCTTTGGTCGCAGCCACGCTTGGGTATGCTCCGATCATTTTCTCCAAGGCAAGATGTGCACCTTCAAGGCATCCTATGTTTTCTCCACCCACTCCTGAGCCTAGACTACCTGAAGCTGGTTCAAGCTCTTCTTTACAATTCAAACCAAGTACGTGGTCATGGCGAAGCCACCGATCATCACCTCACCATCCATGTCGAGTCACGCACACTCATCTCCAGCCCAAGTTCGTGCAGGGCTACCTCCAAGTCAAGTTCGTCCAGGGCTGCCCCCTCACCGAGGTTGTGTGCGCGTGACAGTGCATGGCTTACGTATGGGCTAATCGATAGGTGAGAGCCCGCCCAGGCTCCGAGCTCGGGACTCTCACTCCTAAGAATAAATCATGGTCGGTCACACATGCCATCACAAGGTGGAGATTCCGTAACTTGCGCATCTTCTACGTCAAGCTCGTCATCCTGGTATATGGTCATGTTTGTGCAGAGGAACGAGATTGTCTATCTTTCCAAACCACCTACGATCAAGCGATGCTCTCACAATGTTAGAGAGGCACGTATCGATGCATAACTTGGAAGCCCGAATGCAATCACATGCCACCCTCGTCAAAAATCATTCATCAAGATGAAGCAAAGTGGAAGTCTTGCCTTCCTCACCATCCATGATGTTCAGAGACCATTAAGATGACATGTCATTCCGACCTCCCTCGAATCGCGGCAGGTGGGGGGCACCTTGGGCTCCTCCTCACACGAGAAAATAGGTGCAACCCTCCGATCACTGGCATGAATGAGCAGATCTACAAAAGAACTCTCTCATCGATTCAACAAACGACAAGGAATGAGTCACCCAAGCATTGCTCTCTTTCCTTGAATCAATTCAAGGGGTCGTCCAAGCATCGCTCCCTTACTCTACATTAGGGGGTCCCCCCTCCAAGCATCGCTCTCAGTCTGGGATCTTACATCCACCCTGGGGAAACTTGAACGACAAATGACACCGTAGTAATAGCAATCAATAGGGACTACTTATCATGGTGGACTACTCACAGCATCCTTCTGAGAACGTCAGACGAGCATTGTCACAAGTGAAGACCGGTATTTGCCATTCCCTTAGCAGATGGCGATCGTTGCAGCTTCACGCAGTGCTCGGAGGGCTCACCTTGTTGCTGAATTTGGAAGAAGACCCTGGACTACTAATCGGATAGACAAGACCCCGGGCTGCTAGACTGACAAACAAGACCCGGGGCTGCTGGTCGAACAAACAAGACCCGGACTGCTACCCAGACGAAGGAAACCAAATCCTTTCGCAAGCAGCGGGGAATAATGTGGACAACGTGCAACCGGCTTTTTCAGAGCATGCTTCACCTGATCACCATCAACGGACAACTGAGCTATTGGCCTCTCCCGAGCACACCTCAGCTCGACATCATCGACAGACAGTTGAGCCGTTGGCCTCTCCCGAGCACACCTCGGTTCTGCGTCATCAACAGACAATTGTGCAACTAGTCTCTCCCGAGCATACCTTGGCTCGACCGCCTCCACTGGCAAACAACCGTAGGACTGGCCTTCTCGAAACATATCTCAACTTACCAGTAAAGCATACACTCAATCAAGAACCGAGGAGACTAGCCTTCCTTTGCTTTATTTTAAGGTTCCGGTGTACTCTTTTTCCTTTACTGGGATTTTTTCCCACTGGGTTTTTTCCTAGTAAGGTTTTAACGAGGCACCCCCTCATCATGAACAAAAGAAGAGGTCTCCCAGTCGGAACAAGGAAGACTCCATTCTTTCACAAGCAATTGGATCTAATTCAAGGCTCGCCAATGACCGACCGACCGGACCAAGAATCGGACCAATTCCAAATCAACTTAACTACTCCCTTTTAGCCGAGTCTACTACTCGACTAAGGGAGTGGGGGACTCGTGTTGGGATAATGGGACGGATCCAAGACTATCGGCCCATTACACCCGAGCTTTGGCTCGACCAAGCTCACATCACAGTCCGGCTAGCAGATATTGGCCCGAGATTATTCAATTCCTTATTGGGCTTGCTGGCCCATTAGCGTTAGTAATAGTAGATTAATCGAGCCAGACCCACGTAGCACTTAATTGGTGGGCATATTGTATACGTCTATAAATAGGTCATCAACCCCTTGTATTCTGCTAAGTTATTCTCACTATACTGAAATGCTGCCGAATTCTCTACCCGGGTTATTTTCTACCAACACAGAATTTCACCAATTTCAGTAATTTGATATTTTTTTGTTTTAGCAAATAGACCATGTTGAGTTTATTCGCCGCAGCCTCGAAGTCCAACACCTCTTCCGGGAGGGTTTCGTGGCCTGTTGGTGATAACAAAATATAAACAATGATTTTAACGTGGAAATTCGAAAGGGAAAAAACCACGGAACTTTTTAGGCTAATGTCCAAGCCCTCTCATTTTCATTAATCTCTCCTCACCATTACAATGTACAAGTTTGAGCCTTGATAGCCATTAATGGAGCTCCAAGCTTTAGAGAGAAGTGGGGTGTGGAGAAGAAGATAAGCGTCCCTAAACATGGTGGGAAAGCTTCTATTTATAGAGGAAGGTGGAGGGTGCAAAGCTACCCTAATGGCCCGAGTGGGCCGAGATGGGGCCCAAAGGACTGAAAGAAGACTGATAGGCCAAAACGACCCTCGTCGATTGGGCTCCGTACTGGGACGATGCTTTGAGCTCCGGAACAGTAACAGATTGGGATAATTTACCTCAACAGACCACGAATATCTCGTGGAAGGCTAGTAACAGATAGAGAGTATGTGCATGTTTGCGAAGACATCTCTATCTTATAACTTTTGTATTACTCGAAAAAATCTCTAAAATTTGTAGTTGTATGTTTGTAGTATTAATTGATTACAATAATTTGTTGCATCAACTGGAACTGAATCAAATAGTCAGTCACTAAAAGTTACTCCTTCTATCTAGTAAGATTGTCTCATTTTTTCGTTTTTGGTCAATCGATCCGTTCCAATAAGATTGTTTCACACTACATCTGATAAATTTATGTGGTTTAAATCATTCTCACTTTATTCTTACGTTATCGATTCAATAGTAACTACATAAACTCATTTTTCTTAATAACTGCATCATCTCTTCATGTCCCAATGTTAGTGAAATAAATATAATACTCCGTACTAAATTACGGATGGTAGATAGCTAATATCAACCAAGTATTTACAAAGTAATCTTTTCAATTAATTGTGTCAAAACATATCTTATACGACAATCACTTCTTTATCTTGTTTCACCAAATTGGAGAGTTGACGTGTTTGACATTTAGCGGATAGCAGATTATGTTGGTGGATTATCAATAGCGAAATAAGTTGGTGAATTGGCAGAAGATATTGATAGTTTACGTGTTTGACCATAACAATTAGTAGAAAACATTATATTTCAAAACGGTAACCCAAAATTCTCATATTTGTAAAGTTTTCCTTTTAGCTACTCAGTACAAAGATGCTAGAGCTGAAAGACAATTACGAAACAATCTTTGAAAACTTCATTTTTTCAACACTCTGGCATTGGCATGATGGACATTTTTTATTGAATGGACTAGTAATAGAAAACTGCGTCCAAAACTCCAAATGACCTAAACGGAGGCCCGTGGTCGGCAGTGCACCTTGACTCCTTTGATTCTAGGTTAGGATCAACCAAATTGTAAGTTTGATTTGGTATGCAGCAGTTCAATTGACTTATTGCTTCCGCGGAAGGGAAGAAGAAAGGGCAAGAACAAAATCGTCCTAGTTATATAGGGTTGTGGAGTGTCGGATCACTGACAGAACACAGCCACGGCGACGTCGCGGAGGAAATGTGGTGGCACGGTGGAGGAAATGGAGGCGTAATTAGAACATTCGTCAGATATATGTCGAACTCAAGAAAGCGGGCACCCAATCTGAGGAAGATCAATCCGAAAGTATCCCAGCAAGAGGCTGCCTCCATTGCTGAAGATCTGTACAATGTCATAAAACAACACGGCCCGCTCAGTGTTTCCAACACTTGGAACCACGCCAAGGTGCGTCCTTTTTTCCTTCTCCTTATATCACCGTTATATACGGAGTATCACACATCTGTATATATGTAGTAATCCCAGTATACTCAATAAATTAGGAATAATTCTTGATCACTTGAACTTGGATTACCATGACATTCATGCGAAAAATGGCTGGTTTGTTTTTCTCCCCTTTGCTTAACCTTAGCCCTTAAAACTTTCAAGTTAGCAGAAGAATATTCTTTATGATTTTCTTAGACTAACTAAATCATTAATATTTATCCAAGGACACCATTAGTCAATTAAGTGAATGTTTCATGCAATCTATATCATATTCTATATCCTAAATGCTCAAACATTGCCCCAAGGTCACAGGGCTATAGTTATGAACTTATCATTTCAATTTCTAAATAAGGACTTACGCTAACGAAATAATATTATGGAGTAATACAATACGATTAGTTATATCATCTTATGAACTTATTATCTAAGGCATTGTTTGGTATCATTTTCCATTTTTATTTTTTAATTACTAAAACGAAATGCTTAAAAAAGCCCAAAAAGTTGTTTTTTAGATTTTGGCGCGCAGTTTCAATTTTCAAAGATAACTTGTTACTATATTTATAAGTATTTATAAGTATTTATTAGCTCATTATACACAACATATATCTAATATGAATTACCTTTTTATAAAACATAACACAAAATGAAAGTCCTACAAAAAGAAACACTTGCTCTAACTACTTGGCTCTCCACAGATACAGATATATCCCATTCTCTTTTGGGTGGGTTTAAATTCTGGATCGAGGATTTTGGAGAGCTAACTAGCTCACCATCTAATACAGTCATTTGAGATTGTATACAATTGATTAAATAACACAATACTCCTTAAGTAATAACATTTAAATTATAACACAGTACTCCTCAAGGGTCCCACCACAAGGGTGTATAAGGAGCAAGCCTTTCCCTGTCAAATTATGACAAGAGGCCGCTCCAAGACTTGAACCCGTGACCTCTCGGTCACACACTCACGCAACAATACCTTAACCCCTTAACTAGTGTGCCAAGGCTCCCCAATAACATTTAATAAGCATAATTGACTTTATTTGCTTTTAGTAACATTCCATATACAAGATATAGACCGAGCCTTCAAAACTCTTCCCCCTAGAACATTCTATTTAGTCTCTCCCATTTAACTATTAAGTAATTTTTATGGGTAAATGCTAACCATAAACCTTGGGGTTACATTTAATAGAATATTCTATGTTATTTTTGAGGAACATTAAAGTTTTCAATGGTTTATAAGATCCTTTGCTAGATTACATTTTTGGAATGCTAAACTTGAAGAACATTCTTTGATGATTTAGTTAATTTATGAAAATAATGAAGAATATTCTTCTGTCACTAATGCCTATTGCCTAACCGTAGCCCTTAGTGTCGTGGTTAAAACATAGAAGAACCCTCTTTGTTAATGTAATACTACGTATAATATAGTACAACTAATATACCTTTATTTCAGTTACAGATTTACAGTATATTTGAAAACTATAGTTTGTAGTTCTGTACCATCTTAATCTCAACTATATGTTCATTTACATTTGGAGAATGGTGTATTTATCACTAGTGCCAAGTTGCCAACTCATGTGACCCATTCTCCAAATGTTGAAGGGCACAAACAGACAAACCGTAAATGCTTAATTTACTTCAGCTTCATATGCTGACATTGTGATACTGTCATGTGTTTGTTATTCCATGTTAGATGATCAGGGCTGATGACATGAAATTTATATTGCTAGCCAAGTAATTGTTTGTCAACACTGAGTTTTATTTTAAAAGGCTCAGTGACAGTGTTTACCCCGGTGTCCTTCCTGTAGGAACCTTCTTAGGAATGAATAATGAGCTGACATGAGCATGAAATTTTTTCTGGGACGATGATTACTCACGGAAAAACACTCGGATCTTGTTCGATAACACTAGATCCGCTGTTTGATGAACGTGTGGCTTAAAGGGCTCAATCTGCTGAATAATGAAATCGTTATAAGTACATTTATTAATAAATAAAGAAAAATTTATATGAACAAGCTGAAGTCATTCTCTTCAGATTCAGCTCATTTAAATAAAGAAAAATTTATATGAACAAGCTAAAGTCATTCTCTTCAGATTCAGCTCATTTAGCAAGAAGAGTTCCAGTGTTATTACAGCACACGAAAAACAGTGTTTGGTAGAGTCTTTCTGATAAGCAAAAATGGGTTACTAAGAGGGCACTTATTCTCTAGTAGTAAACTGTTGCAGGATGCTAATATCAGTGGATTAAACAGCAAAACACACATGAAGATAATGCTTAAATGGATGATGGGTAGACACATGCTGAAATTATTCTGTAATCACGTTGGCTCCAACAAGAAATTTCTGCTTTCGTCTTTGCCTGAGGAGCCTGGAGCCACTCCAGTAAATGATGCTGGTGGGGAGCTGAAGGTTAAGGTGCAGCCTTCAAACAGAAGCAGAAAGCGTACCCGGTAGTTGAAGCTCATGTTGCATGCAGTAAAGGAACATCAGAACAACCTGAATAATAGTAGCACTTTTGAATGCAGCAGGCATACGAGCTCCACTGGTCTTGGATTTTTTAATGAATTGTTATGTGTTGAAACATTTAGTATGTCCTTATTGTTCTTAGATGCTCTCTAATTGCTCATTTCATTGTTTAATGCAATCAGATCACAAATCCAGAACATTCATGCCATCGACTGGATTCAGCACTGGGAATATGGATGGACCCTATCTATTTATGGACCAGCTGATTCTGGTCCAGACATTCATGCTATGTGACTCTTAACTGCTCCAGGACTGATTTTTAGTTGAGTTTAAAAAATTTAAAAACTGAAACCGGTCTTGTTTGAGCTTATTTCGGAGGAACTGCCTGGTTCTGCATATCGGTTAGTGTCAGGAATTATAAAAATACCTCTTTAACTATCCGGTCCCAGTTCGATCAAGTTATGGAACCGATACCAAGTTTACCGTTAAACTGGGAGTGTTTTGTAACGTGGAGGTTTTTGTTTTTCTTTTCCGAAAAGAAATGTCAAACGAGTATAGAAAGTACAAAACATGATTAGAAATTTAAAAGCGGTACGAGTCCATTTCTTATGTTTTCTACTCTGCTTTCCAATTTTTATTGAACTTTTTAGCTTTCCATACGGTGTTTCACGTTTTCTATACTCCAATTTTAAAAATATGTTTACACCATACTCTGTATTATTGTAATATCACATGTGCCATGTACACGCATATTAGTAGATAATGTAGTGGGTATGGACACGATCACGGCCTCGAACTTGGCCAGTTCTGGTCCTAGGCCAAGCCAGCTATAGTCCCGGGCCAGTTTTGATCCCGCACTAGCCAGTCGTAAAAAATACGGAGTAATTTAATATTTAGTGAGGTCTGGCAATCTGGCACTGAGACTTATATTTCCTGTTCTGGATCGATTTGGGTTCATCCAGTGTTCCTGGTCTTGATTTTAAGTTGTTAACTGAAACGCACGGAAACGCAGGGGGTGGGAAGTTTCCCTGTTCCGGAAACGTTCCAACGTTTCCGAGCGCAGGAAACGCGAGATACGCGGATCTGGGCCGTTTCCCAATTTTGTAAATTTTGGAAACGCGTTTCCAAAATTTTAAACGCATATCCGATCAATTTTAGGGCCTGCTCATCGTCCGCTCTTCGTTCTTCAACCCTAAGGCAAAGCCGCAAAGATCGTCGACGTCTTCCTTCCATCCGCAGTCCGCAGAGTTCGCCGGCTTCTCCAAAGGGCAAAGCCGCAAAGATCGTCGACGTCTTCCTTCCATCCGCAGAGTCCGCAGAGTTCGCCGGCTTCTCCAAAGGGCAAGTCCGCAAGCTTCCGTTCAGGTATGAAACGCACTTACGCACGCTTAGTGGGCTGAACCGTTCAGGTATGTGTTCGTATTGGAAGGCTGGCAGCTTTTGTAATGGGCTAATGGCAGGCTGGCAGTTTTTTTAATTGATTAAATTTGAATTATTAAATGTTGTATAATTCAATTTAATTAGTTTTTGTATATGCAATTAAGTTTTTAATTAGATTAATTCAATTTGATTAAGTTTTGAATCTTTTGATTAACTTAGATTATTTTTAATTCTCTAGTGATGGAGGACAGTGTTAATAATACGCCAATGCCACAATTTAAAGAGGATGTAAGTAGTCCTTTGTGGCAATTTAGACTTCCTTATGGTGATTGGTGAGTTGGTGACATAATCTCGTGTGGCATGTTTGACATATATGTGTGTGTCAATATACATATATATAAACATACACATATAAAAAATTCACAAATATATATATATATATATAATATTTATAAAGTAACCCCTATATTTTTAATATTTGCGCGTTTCCCCCGCGTTTCGTGTCCTGTATTTTTGGTAAATGGCGTTTCCGACGTTTCCCGTTTCCCGTTTCCCGTTTCCCGTTTCCGTGCTACTTATGTTGTTAATTTTTACTAAACCCTCCATCACACGGACACACCCTCTCCTCTCTCTACTCACCCCTTTTCAACTTTAAAACGGACTCTCATCCCCTAATTAAAATGATTCTTGATAGTTCATTAGTTCATAGTTCAAAAAAATTTAATGGAACCGAGGTCCGAACCAATTGGTCATTTGGTCTTGGACTCTTGGTCCTAAAGAGTGAGGACCCAAAGTTGGGATAGGGGCTCCTTTCCCACTGGTCCGGTCTCGATCCCACATAGGAACCTCAATTTTTCGCTCCCTATCTTGATTTGGAAACCGGCCAGTCTTGGCATCATGACCTTGTACACACCCTACGTAATAGTATTTGCATTACTTCTTGAGTATGCCTTGGTGCCTTACATTTGGGATGAACTATATGCATGGACATCCGCAGATTGCGTTCGGGAACCATGAACCTGTTGGCGATAGGATTGGTTTGTCTTTTGAGCACTAGTGGTTGGGTCTTGCAAGATGGTTGGTTTTGTTGGTTGGAAGAAAATAAATACTCCCTTTCCCATAAAATTTGGCCAAATTTTCTTTTTTTACCGTCCTAAAAAAAATTTTCATTTCCATTTAAAGTAACAAAAATGTGCCTAAAAGTATTTCTCACTCACCTGCCCAAATTTCAATCACACATTTTTTAGTTTATTATTATTATTCTACGTGTAATGAGACCGAGGGAGTATTAGTGTATTACAAAGTTGGGATGACGGTGGTTGATGAGGCAACGTTGGCACAGTGAGTGGTGATTCTTGATGATGTAGCATAAATAATTCAAATGAAGCATATGATCTGCCGATCTATAAATTAAACATATAGATCTTATAGCACCGGTGAACGTACTCAACTGGTAGCGAGGGAGTGCCACAAGGGTTAGGTCCCGGGTTCGAATCCCGGCAACTGCGATGAGAGGTTACTATGCTAAAATATGCATAGGGCCTCTGCAAGTAACGGAGACAGAGGCACACTCTTTATCTGTCAGATTGAGATTATAGTCCAATTTACACCCTGCCAACGTACCGTCCGATTGAGGTTGGGGGTCTCTCAGGGATGGAGTGTCACCCTTTTTTTATTATAGATCGCATATGGTCTATATTCTGTAAAGGAAGCAATTCTATTTTATCAAAACAATTCTATTTTCTCCTCTATACAAATCTCAATTTAATTTTCTTATTTATCATTTAATGCAGAATTGATAAAATAATGTAATGAGACTCAAGTAGTATTTGGTGAGGTAAGACAGTAAAGAAACGCTTGTTCGTCCCCACCCAATGCATCCTTCAAGACACCTTCCAAATTTAGAAATTATGATATGAAGTTTGTTCCGTATAACAAACTTATGTAATCTGTTGCTGCTAACACTCTCATTACATTGTCCAAGCTCTAGCCCGTCTTCACTCGTGACTACTTGTTATTCAACTCTTTTAAAAATGGTCAAGTTGCTAGATTGGCCATGTATTCTTTTATACCAAACTATAGTCTAGTTTGTTCTTGCCTCAATCTGATTACATATTTTAGTATTTTATCTTGTTGAATGTCAAAATCTTTAATTGGGATAAATTTTGAACACGTGACTTTCTTCTTTACTTGAGAGTGTCACACTGAACATGAAAACAGAAGGTGCTTGATAGTGTAGTTGAATTTTAATTACATAAGTATAATTTTCTTTAACATTAGTGTTAAGTTCATGTCCTAATGATCATGGAATGAAAGTGAAGTTAATGTGTCGGTCTTCCCCCTGTAATACATGAATTTTCACTTGAGTACACTCATCCGTTCATGTGATTAAAACTGCTTTAAACCAACTTACAAATATTGGATATATGTAGTATGATGATTAAGAGCTGGTTTGGTGACTATATTTTTCTGCTTATCAGTGTTATCAGGCAACTTTTTAACCAACTTTTTGCTGAATTGTGTAATACTCATAAGAAAAAGTAAGGTTGAAGTTACTTTTTTTGTTGTATTGACTGAAGTTATTATAGATCATCATTTTAGCTATTTTTCATATATTTTTTTCTTTATTCAATTAAAAATATACTCCTATATTTTAAATATTTTTTTTTGTAAATCAGCACAAACATCTAATACAACTAGTTCAGCCAAAACTTCATAAATTTCAACAGAATCAATTCTAAATAGAGTACACTAGTACGTAACTATGATGGTGTAATTGTGCCTTATATTAAAAATTAATTCTAGGCTTAAAAAAAATTAATTCTAAAGGTTCATACCAGTTGCGGAGCCAGAACAAAATTTGAGGGGGGCGAAAAATTTTTGAACCGTTGATTGGAAAGATCTATAATCTGTAACGTTTTTTGGGTATATGTACCAATTTGATCTCAAATCCAATGCATAAGAGTTATTCTTATTTGCACAAAGTGATACTTTATATTGGTCTATATATAATTCACACACAAGCACACACATACATATAGATATCAACTTACATATTGACATTTATTCATTTTTATATACTTGTTTTGTTAGTGCCTAAACAAAATAATAGACTTCATTTATCAAACGAGTTTATTTTGATTTAATACATTTGTCCTTTTATTTAATTTTAGAATAACAAGGTTTAAATAGAAATAGGGAATATAGCTAAACAAATAGAGGAAGATAATTTAATAATATATATAAGTTACTAATTTATCAAGAAAGTAATAATTTTTTTTCTCTTTTCAAATCAACGTCACTTGTAGGTTATTTATTTATTAAAAGGATATTTGTTTGGTTCATGCAAATGTATTACATAAATCAAATTATACTCATATGAAGTCAAATATTTCAAATATCACAAGAAATTTGGGCATATTTGTACTAAACCAAGGAATAAATAGTTATGTTAAAATTTAAGTCGTTTTGAAATCCGGAGTGGTAGGAAAAATATTAAAACTAGTAACATCCCATAAAGTTAAAAGGCAAGTAGAGGAAGTGTAGTAAATACTACCTCCGTCCCATAAAATAAGTCTCATTTCAATTTGGATCGGAGTTTAAGAGTTGTGGTTGAGTAAGAAAAAGGTAAATGAATATTAGCTACACAAAACATTCCAAAAAGGAAAACATGAACAATTTTTTGGGAAGACCCAAAAAGGAAATTGAGACTTATTTTATGAGACGGAGGGAGTACTAATTAAAAAAGGGGCTCAGCATGAAATGAACCAGTGTCTCCCCCTGAAAATGAAGAACGCTTCAACCACCAGTGCTACTCCAACTATTAGTCGAAACATGGATCCGTTAATTGTTAGTACTCCTTCCGTCCCATAATTAACTTCGATTTTGACTAGGTAAGAGAATTAAGATAGTGAGATTTGTGTGGTGGAGA